TGATTTTCGTACATGATAATTTATTCTCTTTTTAAGTGACCATGTAATGCTATAAACGTATAATACATTCTACTGTACAATTCTTCAATATCATGCGGTGGTGGCCGTTGCGCGCTTCCGTACTTTTTTACATATATCAAAAAGAGTTCAAATGAATCAATACATAAATAAACATTCTCACACACGTGAATACAGCATAGTACTTTAAATGTGTTTACAATGCTTTGCCACATATGGTTTTACTAGTAGTAATTTAGTAAAGTCATGGCTAACAAAGCCACGTTCATCGTTCTTCATGTGATAAATATTTAGTCTATATTTTTAGCTCAAGCTAAATTTCTCTGAGATCGGTAGCGTCTGTTTTTCTACACAATTAGATGTGCAAAATGCAGGTGTTACTTAACCTAGAAAACAGCTAGGAGAATGTTTGTAAGATATTGTTTGTAAAACGTTTTTTACAACAGAGTTCTATTCAGAGACTTTTTCTTGCAACAAAAACATAAGTATTTTAAACGAAACTTTATGAATTAACGCTCTTTTTGTTTCTCTTTTTTGCGGCGGCATGACCGAGTAATCGCTAGCCGCATGGGTTCAAACCCCGACAGGATCAAGTCGTTGTTTCCTTGAGCAAGAAACTTTACACTCATTACTCAGTACTGGTTGGTTCAAAGAACGGAATGTGTGTCTTAAAGCTTTTAGTTTCCTACACAATCAAACTAAAATAAATTCTGTAGAAATCAACTTTTAAATGCTATAAAACGTGATCCGAAAAAGTAAACATTTTCTTTGACGTATATATATTAGTACATCGGTACGTGATTCGACAAAAACATTAATTGCGCCATTATGAAGCCTATCCTCTTACACTATTAAAATATGGAAAGATTACTGTATTTCAATTAAATGAAAATATCACATATATCTCCACTGAATAAGACGTAATAATCGATGACGTCATATTTGTTTAAGAATTAAAATGACTATCCTTACATTCCTTATTTATGAGAAACGTTTTCCAAATAAAACCACACGTTGCTTTGAAATACAGTTTTATTTAAGTAAAAACCAGGCTTATAAAATATCTGGTATCTTTCTTATCATTATTATTTCCTTGAAAAATGAAGATGACTTGAATTATGCAAAAATTTATTATTAAAGTTTTAATGATATAAGTATCAAATCATACCTATGTCATGTAATGTATGAATCTTAAGCATACAAATAGTAAAACTTGAGCTAGATATAATTATGTTTCTGAATACGTGTTAAATAAAACAAACGCCAAAATCAATCGTTTAAACAAATGTGTTGTCTACGGAAGATTTTGTCATGAACTAACATTGCGGTTTTGTTTTTAAGAAGTTGATACGGAAACTAAGATCATAAGTTTAACTTTCAGTTTATTGTAACCGCTTTATTTGACATGTTTATTATAATCATTTAAACAAAATCATGCGATGCCACTTAGACTATGAAGTATTGCTTACGATAAGGCAGACACCTGCTTCGTCTTTCTTTGAATTATTGCAATTATATAAACAAACATGTTATTTTCCAGTTGGGTAAGTTCACGTATGAATACGAGTGTTGATTTAAATTCATACACTTTATCTGGACGATAGCCAGTGTATTTTACGAATTTGGCACATCATATATTTTATAAAGATGATAGTTGACGAAACACACGTGCTCCCTATATGACCAACACTCACGTTCCTACTGTTGTTCTCCGACTGGTGTTCTGCATTTTAAACTTAGAAAATTTTACCATTACATGTTTAAATGTTGACTACTGTTTAAAAGCCGGTGCAAGGGAGCGTGGACAGTAGCTTGCACTTTCCAGTACTGTCCATTAACAGGCTCAATCAAACTGAGCCTGCAACATTTTCAATTTTGGCGCTTAGGACTTTCTTAAGGGATCTTATTTCTCAGTACTAGTATTTTAAAATTGCATCGTAGAATATGTTCGGAAGATCACATATGAGATATAAAAACACAATAACACATATGTGACATATTTTAGTTTCTGTGTCGTTTATGAAAAGCGCATACATGTTTGAGCTCGTGCCTCACGTTTTTTTTTACTTTTTGAAATAATATCTTGACATTAAAATTGAAATTTCAAGAGATGTGATACAGTATATAATTAATTATATTTTTATCAAGATTGTCCCGCTAGAGGAGAACCTAAGAAGTAAAGATTTTATTTCATTTTAAAATGTATATTTTTAGGAAGTAAACATTCAATGGTTATCCGACAAATAAAGTTTCTGATTGAAGTGCCATGCTTTATAATTGCCTTAGGAAAACATCTGTACGGAAGAAACTAAATTTTAAACATAAACAGGTGCTAGGGTGGTACTTGTATTTACCTTTACCGTCCATTAATAGGCTCACACCAAGCCTGCAACAGTTTGAATTTTACTGTCTTAAGCGTTCTTAAAGGTTTTCATTTTTATCTACTTTCCTTATCTGCCCAAGAGTATTAAATGATCAGTTAACGTTTTGAAATGTGTCGGGTGCAAAAAAGACGACTGCTTAAGTTAAGATTTTTATAGAATTAAAAAAAAAGTTACAAAATGGAACTTCTAAGAGTTTGGTACATGACTAAACGCCGGGGTATTCCGGTTTTTTTTTGGTGCGGTACCGTTTGCTAAAAGGCTAAGTATTATGATCGCTTTCAGGAGATCAAGGTATTTGCACGGAAAAATGTATTGTATCTATATATAAGTTTCTAAAGTATGAATATATGTTTTGTAAATGCATATGAGGAAGTAATAAATAAGATAAAAGGAAAGAAAAGAACATTTGAATGATTTTCGGTTTCGGTATTTTTAAAGAAAATTGTATGAGATATTGTTATCAAAAATATGCGACGTTTTGTTATCTTTATTTAAAGGGGAAGTTTAATATGAATATTTTATGAAGCTTTTTTGTCGAGGTTCAAACTTTTTATTGATATCACGAATTTGTATTTATTTAGTACGTTTTGTATTTGTCGTTATATTAAAATATTTTTGTAAATTAGTTCTTGCATTGCTAATGAATTAGACAGCTATACCCTTAGATCTGAGTAAATGTTGATTGTGATAATATGTCTGACATTGTTTAATAAACTCAACATTCTTTTATTTTGTGTAATAGCGTAGAAATTCTGCAAAGTTTTTTCTCGATTTAAATGAATTACTTCAAATATATTTCAAGTTCTGCGTATGTTCAAAATTAAAGGAAAGAACAACAGTATGGTTCTTGTCAAACAATTAACATTTCATTGTTGCTTTAGAATGCGCATTTAATCATGTTTGTCTGTTTTTCTATGAAGACATTAAACATCTGCTTGTCGAAACAAATATATATCTATATATATATACATACTTTAACAACAAACGCACAGACGAAATCCTGTTTTAAAGTGGTTGTTTTTTTTTTTTTTTTTTGTTTTTTTTTCTAAAAACTTTTAGTCACGATATAGCATCAGTTCTCACGTGTAATAATACTTTTTACGATTAATCAATTTGCATACCTATACAAAGTTCAATGATCATAAATCGAAAGTGAATGATTGCATACAACAAGACATGTTTTATTTGTACTGTATTTCTATACCTATACAAATTTCTTCACTTTGCACAGATGAATTAAACTCCGTCATATATTTGTAGAATCAATATTCAACAATATTCATAAGCAGTATTCAAAGGTACAGAGCATATTCACAATTTATAAGAATTTTTAAAAATTATGAGACTTTTTTCATTGATAACTCGTAATTTGTATATAAAAGCCCGCACGTGTGTTTCTTCATTACACACAAGAAGTACAACCTTCGTTTCTGTCCGGATAAAGAATCAATGCTTTGTACTTTTATAATTGCATTTTTGAACAACTAAAAAAACTACTTCTTAAATGTCTCAATTACCAGATATAAGTACAAACAAATGCTAATAATTCACAGAAAAAAATTACTTTTGTACTTTCAAATGAATTATAGACAACTTTTTTGGGGTTTCCTAGGTAGGCAATCGGTGATAATGTACTTTAGTTTCCCAACTAACTAACTCATATGAGACGGTGAAACAGAAGGATAGGATGTAACTCTCCAGGTACTGTGTTCGACGTTTATCACACTACATTTCAGTTTCAGCTTTGAATATATTATCAATCTCACAAAAGTCTCATGCAAAATTAGCTCGTTGTTGTACTACTGTGATTCTATTTTTAATTCATAAAGTGGTTTCCGCATTCGCCACAAGAAGTCAAGTACACACAAAAGAATGAAGCTTCATTATTTCATCATAAATTTATTTCTGATGATGCCGGTTAATTGACTGTTGTAATATATTGTTGTAACGATGTGAAAATAATGTTCTTTTAACAGTGTTAACCCCATTTCTTCTAGACATGATTTATTTCCTTCTAATTAAATTGGCGATAATTCTACGCCATATGAATATTTTCTTGTACATATTCTATATTCTATATTCGAGACAGACAATTAGTGAAATGATTGAAACGTACACGGCTAGTTTCATCGTACATACAAAAACACTGGCTGAGTAACAGTGTACCGATTGAAAACCAATTATTGTGCCATGAACACGAGAAATAAGTCATGTCATGACAAACTTGACAGATGAATTTGTTCCAGACTCGGTGTCGTTTTACTTCATGATAATTTTTCTGTTTTTCCTAATGAAAAGTTCCTTTCAATTCTGTTGTGTTTTAAAGAATTGATATTTTTGAGGTCTGTTATCATCATTATCATTAAAATTGAATGAATTATGATTTATAATGATGATAGTTATGATTGTGATGATGATAATGATGGTAGTGATCATTCTGGTGATGATGATGATGACGATTATGATTGTTATTATTATAATGATGACAGTGTTGATTGTGATTATAATGATGATGAAAGTGATGAATGTGATGATAATAATGGTGACAATGATGATTATTAAAATACGAACAAATTATGCATGTAATAAAATGCGTACCTTGAGAGCAGCCAAGACTCCCTCACAACAGATGAGTGTCACACCAAGAACGACAGTCCAGGCGAATTGTTTATTCAACTGGATCATAAGTACGGTATGGACACTTTTCACAAGCCTAAAGCCAGGTCCCAAGTTTGATATGCTTCAATGTCTGTAAACTAGTTTGTTTATTGACTATAATCCCGGTGTAAATCCTATAGAGAATATTAAAATAGAACGGATTGAGCTAAATTAAGCAGGTTACAGATCTAAATAGCGTACATTTATTCAGTGTATTTAATGTAGCTATTCACGTCAAAGCAAAGACAGATGAGGCCATTTGTACTTGGCCAATAAAATTTTACAGGTCACCACCTTAAAATCCAAGTAGAACGTACATTTAAATCCTATAATAATTATTTAACTTCAAATTTTATAAACTGTTGTAAAACAATTCTTCTAATTCTTTTGGTTCCTGTATGAAAATACGCACAAATATTAAAAGAAATTGTAGAAAAAAAAATCCAATGTGAAAGTTAACCGGTCTATCTTCGCGTTATCGTAGAGAAGGTATTCATAACCTAACGTATAGTAGGTATATATACAACGTACTTACATTTATCTACTTTGGTATGCACGCTTACAACTGCCGGGATTTTATAGGTTTACATAGCTTTCTCACACTATATATACTGTATATCACTTCAAGGCTGAACATATTTTCGATATACGATCAATTTCCAATAATTTGTTAGTGTACGTCACAAAACTGAAAAGAAAACGTGGGCTTAACGCGTTAATAGTAGATAAGTCATCTTCATTTTCTGAAAAAATGTGATATGGTATAATTACATTTAGTAATAATAAAATTTATTGTAGGAATTCATTCAAAATTATTACTTATAGTCCACACCAATATAGTCATCAAAAATATGAATTGGGTTTACCTATTTGTATTGTGAATAACTCTATAATCAAGTAATTTTTCACTTGGTTTTCTAATGTACATTTTTGTTTATCAGTTTTGGTTGGTTGTTATGTTATTACAAATAGTGTTTTATATTGTATGAGTATAGTATCTTAAACAAACAATATGACTGTTATCATATGATTATTATGGTATACTTACTAGTGTTCTCCGCTGATTAATAAGTAAGACATTTACCCGAGAAAAACAGTTTTAATAATAATAATCAAATTTAAATACGGTATTAGTTAAGTATCGATCCAGGCGTTCAGTTTCTTGCTTGTATGACTTCATAAAAATGAAATCAAAAATTAGTTTTAAAAGTGTACGACTGCGAAAATTATGTTATACCTTACGAGTACTGAAATCTACTTTGTAGAAAAATATTTTTCAAGGCCTATTATGCCTCAGAACTGCCATAAATTTTATTTCTCAAAACTTTTTTAGTTTTGGTATCTTCTTAAGATTTCCAAAAATATATTCATGTTCCATATAAATCAGCTATCTTTGCTACTTTGACTATGCCAGCAATTGGTATAATTATAGTGAATTAGTACTTTGTATGGAAGTCAAAATACTACTTTGTTAACATTTTACTTTCTTTAGTATTTAAACATGTATCGTGCTGGAAACATTTTTAAACATATGTTTGATATTTCTTAAGAATTAGAAAATATGGATTTTTGAGGCATAATGTGCCTTTAAAAAAGAAGGAAAGCTTTAAAGTGAATTGGTCTACAATGGTCACATAAATTTATTTCAAATTTTGATAAACCAAAAGAAATGTATCATTTTGATATTCTTAAATTTGTGCTAATTTAAGAGTTTGAACATGTATATGATGAGAATGATATTTTGTACTTTTATTATACCGAAAAGAACACCCATATAGAATCATTTCGTAGTATGTTGTAATGTCTGATACCAAATATTATCAACACACTTAATTATTGTATTAAAGACCATCCATTACATACCAGTTCATTTTGAGACGTGAATTCATTGAAGGAATTATAATATATATAAAATATACAAAAAAATATGTATATCAATAATGTTATAAATGACTCAAGTGTAGATCGTTTATACCTTAGCCTGACGGCGGCTCATAATGCAAGCAGTACATACCAATAACAGCCGCACAGCATGCCATCGTCGTTTGCAAGGTTTGATACTCAGTCAGGACATATTTTTAAATTTCCCTGAAATTGATTAATTAATTGTTTTGTCCAGATTGTAAGATGCACACGTTCATAAAATATTTTTATTGGTAAAGCTTAGATATGGTTGTAAAGTCAAAATATTTAAATTTGAACACTAACAATTAAAAACCACAGGCACGAGTATCGGGCCTGGGAAGAAAAAATATGACCAGATTGATAATAAAACCTGTGTTCATCTTAAAAGTGTCAAAAACCAAAAAAAAAATTGTAAATAATGACCCCCTTTAAAAATATATTATAAGTTAAGAGAAGGCCGGAAACTCCATATTCGAGCCTACGAGCAAGGGATTTATTTACTGGGCCGTTGTGAAAACAATTGGCCAGACAATTTAAAAAAACTTTTATCACTATTTCACGTTTGTATTAAGCTTCAAAATGAGACCAACCCCAAGTCTCTAGCCCTACCCGTTCATGAAATATCTCTCAGGAAACGAGCGAATTCGTGCTAAAAATCCTTGGTAGACAGAATTGCGGCACAACGATTCGGTACGTAAACATAGACTAATACATGTTTGTCAGCTGATTACGGGTCAAAATCACTTGAATTTACTAAATAATATTACTAAATGCATTAAGTTGGACCACACACAACCGTCATTAGCATCTGATTCACGCAAAATTCGAATTTCAAACCTTTCCACGGTCTTTAGATTCTTTTCTACGCCATTGTCAATCAGCTGTTCGATATTTTGTAACGAGTCTTCTGATTGGCCAATAGCAATGAAAACCGCAACGTTTCACACAAGGATGCCTAATGGCGTAGAAAGCGATTGAAAGACCGTGAAAATATTTGAAACTCGAATCTCGTGTGTATCAGATGCTACTGACAGTTGTGAGTGGTCTCATTTAATGAATTTGGTAATATTATTTAGTAAGTTCAAGTGATTTTGACCCGTACTCAGCTGACAAACATGTATTAGTATATGTTTACCTGTTTACGTACCGAATTGTTGTGCCGCAATTTTGTCTACCAAGGATTTTTAGCACGAATTCGCTCGTTTCCTGATAGATATTTCATGAACGGGTAGGGCTAGAGACTTGGGGTTGGTCTCATTTTGAAGCTTAATACAAACGTGAAATGGTGATAAAAGTTTTTTTTAATTGTCTGGCCAATTGTTTTCACAACGGCCCGGGAAATGAATCCCTTGCTCGTAGGCTCGAATCTGGAGTTTCCGGCCTTCTCTTAACTTATAGTATATTTTTAAAGGAGGTCGTTATTTACATTTTTTTTTTTGGTTTTTGACACTTTTAAGATGAACACAGGTTTTATTATCAATCTGGTCATATTTTTTCTTGCCAGGTCCGATACTCGTGCCTGTGTTAAAAACCCATAGGATATTTATTTAGAAGACTTATTTGAGTCATTCAATTATATATATACGTATGTATGTTTGTAACAGAATAATTCAAATATTATACTTACCTTCTTATCTAATGTGTCCAAATCACAAAATAGACAATCCCTTTATTACTCTTTATAAAAATAAAATGTCAATAATCATTTAAAACTTCCTTGATAGAAATAGAATATACAACGTATAAAATGAATATACAATGTCCTGAATGTAATAAATAAATGTTCACGAATATTTTGAAATATCAATTCTTACTCTTTTTTTTATCAAAAACATGTATTCTTTAATACAACAGAAACACGTATGCATATCTTTTAAGTTTATGTATAATGGTCGAACTTTGTGTTTCATTCATAAAACCGACTCAAAACATTTTAACTAAAATTGTAAAAAAGAATGAATTGAATCGTCGTTATATATATACAACGGAAGTTACGTGGGATGCATTTTTAATTTTTAAACGAAATGTATTGGACGGATTACGGTGGATTGCCACACCCTTAAATAACGTATAAAAACATTAATGCCATTCACTGTTGTAATTTAAAACGTTCATTTATACTTAGCATAATTATGTGGCACACATGAATTTCCGCTACATCTTCTACAGTTTACCATATACGCCACTAGGGAAAATGAAATAAACTCGTCGTTCGATATTTCAAGAATTTAACGCATTTTATATAAATAGTAAAAAAATATGTAGTCAACAGCAAAATTTTAAAAGTATCCTTTAAGATACGTTTCGGCTGAACAGCCTTCTGCAGAGTACATAGATAAACAATAAACATGAAATTATGTCAGCGTTGCTTATATTATGTCAATATAGACGTCGTCAAAACGTTACAAAGAGGCATTTAATATCTAAAGGCCTGTGCAGCAACAGTTGCATATTGACATGTAATCAGAATGAACAAACAAATAGAACAAATAGAATATATTTAAACTTATTATGATCGTAGAATATGATAAGAGAACCATTTTCAGCAAAATATACAGGGAATCAATGTGCTCGTTTCTGAGTTACTTGCCTTAAATTGAAACATTTTGTTTGTGACAAGAGACAAAGTAATGCATGCAGAAAACACTTATACTGGATCAATTCTTTCAGTTTGTTTGTCTATTTTTCTTTCTTTCTCTCTTTTCATTATTATTATGATTATTATGATTATTATTATTATTATTATTATTGCCGCGCATGAATCACCGCGCATAGTTAATCATGGTGCCCTTTGCATGGCGTAAATTCCTGAAATCATGCGCTCTGATGTACTCGTTTACGTAAAATTCAAATTTTTGATGAGTTTAAAGGACTCGAACTCAGTGCTCATTTGTACACTTATGAGGTAAGAGGGTCTTTCAGAATATTGTTGACAGATTAAGGGATATTTTCCTTAAGCATACAGCTTTAAAGCAATACAATGCAGAAAATAAGAACGATTGGTCTGTAGAATGAACGATGTAATGCCTACAATTTAATTTGATGCCTTGAGAGGCAAATATAAGATTGTAAGTATTTCCTGAATGTATATCAGAACTATGAATTGATCTACTAATTGCTTCCTTTTTTGATATAAACATTGGTTATTCAATGCCAAAACCAACTATTCGTGAACTGAAAGGCATGCGTTTATTAGTTATACGTGATACATGTCACTTTTTTCAACAAAGTGGTGAGTTTTGACAAATTCGAATAATCTGTCAAGTTCATGTGCACCATGTTTCGTCATTTATATTTCTATAAAGCCACACTTACACCTAAAAATACGCCCGGGGTCTGTTTTTCAGACAGAAAGTGCTAATAACACGTAATATTTCGGAATGTTGAAACCAAAGTTTACGTGCGTTTATATATATATTCGTCTAACAAATAGGTTTCGTATCTCATTTACGTGATATTTTGAACGGTAAATACAAAAACGATTAACATTATATATGTGATATCTCTGTTAACTATTATTTATTTATTATATACTTATAAATGAAATATTGAGAAATATTAATGAAATAAAATGCGTATTTTCATTTTCCGTATTTTCACTGTAAAAATTTATTTTTCACTGCAGTGAAACATATTTTCCGTATTTTCACTGGTGTCTCGCCGGACTACTTTCTTTTATATTCTGCCAGTACACAAAATTTAAGGAAAAGTCTTTCAAATTTTAATGTCAAAAAGAGAAAAATGTATACATTGTATAATAAACAGAAAATTCAAGTTTTTTCTATAAATACATGATTTATTTTCATCTTGTGGCATGAAAATTACCATATTTCACTCGTGGCTACCGCCACTCATGAAATATTTATTTTCATACCACTCGATGAAAATAAATCATGTATTTATAGAAAAATCTTGAATATCCTCTATTTATTATTTATTTATTTACATATTTTATTTATTTATTTACATATTTTATTTATTAATTTATCCAATATTTATTTTATTTATTTATTTATTTTTAATATTTATATATATATCTAATTATCTATTTATTTTTTTAGATTTACTTATCTACTTCTAGTTATCAAACTTTCCTCAATATGTATATAAAAGTATTTAAAGAATACAATATTCTACTTACTTAAATAAGTAATGCATTGTAAAGGTTAAAAATTTTAGACAAAATTTCGTCTAGACAAATTTGCAAACACAAGTGTTATATCAATTTACAATTAAAACAAGTGTTTTGCTGGTTAAACACTATTTCTTCGTTTAAAATGGACGTAAAAATAATTGCATCTATGTTACATTTTACGTTAGGAAATATATTTACCACACAATATAACAAGACTCACTGATTAAAGGCCCATTAAGCCTATTGGCAGAATATCTAAATGTCAGAATATCTAAATGTCAGAATATCAATTCAATTGATCAGCACTGATAGTGCACTAAAGGAAAAAATTTGATTGTGTTCGATCATTCTGAATTTGGAATTATTACATCATTTCAGTCGAGTGAAACAATTAAAACATTTAGATCAAACGAAAAGCATGACCGTTGTCAGTTTTATGGCGTATTTTGATTGGTTTAAGTTATAAATTAGAGATTTAATGCCAGTAGAAAATATAATAATAAAGCCACGAAATCCGTGTCAAAAAGTATTTTCAAATGCGTTTTATAATAAAATCATAATTTCTTTTATTGGCATATTTCCAGTCTTTTTAACATATTGATATTCAGAATATACATTAAGCGTTTGTTCTTGAACGAAAAAAGGCGAGAAAATGTACTGAACCGGTTTTCTAAATTTCATTACATGAAGTTATACAGTAATGGTAAAGTCGCAATCTATAAGTAAGAATTGTTGCAACATACCGCATCATAACAAAACCAACATAGTGGGTTTGCGACCAACATGGATCCAGACCAGCCTGCGCTTCCGCGCAGTCTGATCAGGATCCATGCTGTTCGTTAACAGTTTCTCTACTTGTAATAAGGTTTGTAAGCGAACAGCATGGATCCTGATCACACTGCGCGGATGCTCAGGCTGGTCTGGATCCATGCTGGTCGCAAACGCATTATGTTGGTTTTGTCATGACGCGGCTTATATATATTTTGTATTATTGATCGAAGTTTAATACATTGTAAAATCATGGTTTATTTATTATTATACAAATTAAATTTGATAAGTTTGCAACAAATATAACTTTATTAGGCATGCTGTTAGCAAAAGAAAGCTG